AGTGTAGTATGATCAAGCCCAATATGTTTATAAAACGAGTGTCATACAGTAACGCTCTATGTTTTATAATAATAATTTAAGGCCTGAAAACTCATGAAGGTTGAATTTTTATAATTGCATCCTATCACACACATTATAAGATTCACTTGTGCTAGTTAGCATCCCTATATCCTATCAAACCTCTAATAGTAGCCATTTGAAACCAGTGAAATGTTTCTGAATTTATATACAAACTTAATGTCTTTTCTTTATTGACAATGAAGAGCAGTGTCTATTATCATCAGTATTTGTTTTCAGAAGTTAGATCACTTATAACACAGATCACCATTACAGAAATCATATTTCGATGCGGAACCTCAAAATATATCGGTAGGTAGGTATGGATACTCTCACTAATATCAAAATAAGCATTTTACATTCGATTACGCAAGGATTTGTGGGGTGACATTCTACTAGTTGTGAGCACACATAATTTAAACCAGTATCCAAGTATTCAACATGGTATTGTTTAACGGCTGATCAAATTAGAAATCATAATTAGTTTAATCTTCAGTCTACTAGATCAACAGTATTATCTACCACAACAATCATTCATCATGTCAACTCACTTCATTCTAAAAGTGAATACGAATTAACTGATGAACAAAATCCCAAACATAACTCATTATGCCTTACGTTTGCATTTCATTGATAAACAGATACTTTGAAGGTTATCAATACTTATGCGAATTGATTTGCTAATTCAAACTCCTTTCCGAAGGGCTTTTACCGGTTACATAAAAAGAAATTCTTCATTAATAAGCACTTAATGAATGATTATATCTATCTCTAGTGAGTTCTGCAACATAGATTACTTTTAATAACGTTTGTCTTGTTATAACCAGTTATATAACATGATACATTTTGTCTCTTTATTCAAGGGAAAAGGGGATATGCAGACATGGTGGATCACAGGACGTACTAGAGCTGATTTGGCGAAAGATTGCTGTCCACTGCCAATGAACTGGAAAAAAAGACTGAAAAAAACAGAACCTTCAAACCAAACTGAGAATCCATAACAAAAATTACATTCATACCATTCATGGATTGACGAAAACTTAAGAAGATCTTGTAAAGTGTTATATATCATATCGAGTCCTCAGATTATATAAGATTATATTATTTATGGTGCTTAAAAGAGTATTCGCCACAGTTCATGCATTTTAATCTTGACATCTTTAGCAAGCATTCTCATTTTGTTTTGAATAATGAATCCTACAAAAGTAACTGATTATTAAATTGTTGTCTCGGTGTTTTGAACTACTAACAATTTAAAAGTAGCATAATAACAATTATGCCAATAGTGTTGACAATTTGAATGCTGAAGGTGTTATCTCAGTTTAAATGAATTATTCTTTTTAAAATTGCTTTGAATAAAATAGTGGTAGAAAATATTGGATTATTATTGTTATTCTTTAAATGCTACGTGTAAGAAAATTTGAGTATGATATGTTATCTGTTCACTTAACTAATCTCATTTACCATATGATTGTAATAGTGTGTTTATCCAGTTTTCTCAGATTCATCTTTGGTACAAGAATTGAGCTAATGATCTGCTATTTCTTATATGATTAGCCCACGTTTTAGTTACAATGGTTATCTTTAGTCTCAGCTAATGTCTTTTAGATCAAAACCACTTACTATAGAAAGGAATTTTCCATAATTCTGTTCTAACTACCACAAAGGAGTAGCTGAATTTTGAACTCTTTATGTTGTAATAAGAAATGTAAATGATAAGGATAGATCTAGGCCACAGACTCAGCAATAAAATTCTCTGAAACGTGGAACAGAGTGAAGGAAAAATATCGCAACTGAATTTATATTTGGAATCCATAACTTACTTTTCAAAAACACGGATTCGGTTTTTCAGCCTCCCCTAAAAATTTTCAACTTCATGAGGTTATACTCATTGACAGCCTTCTAAAGCCATACGTATGAAATATCTTAAAAAATCATGTTGAATCCTTTGAGTTTCTGAATACAGAAGATAAGGTTCTGGAAACCGCATAAGTGCTATAGAAATGCTGACTTGCATCAGTGTTTTTAAAAGATTATAGCTTTTTTTGGTTATTTGTTCTCTGAAGAAGTGGTTTACACTGAGTCACGAAACGTCAGAAAATTTAATTTTTCTGTGATGTTTTCTGAGTTTTCTTCATGGTATACACTGAATCAAAGCCTCAACATAAACCAACCTCTGTGATGGTTGGTAGGAAACTGATTTTTATTGGCTGCATAATGTTATGATAAGACATAATTCACAGCAGCACAGTGTATAACCTCCTAATGTACGACATTAATGATTTTTTTTTGTTTACCAGACTCCTAAAGACTAAGCAGTGTATGAAACCCTCAAGCACTGAGAACTTTGAGACTATACTCGACCACTTAGCTAATCAAAAGCGAATAACTTCTAAAGACTGGTTCATACTGAAAATTATTATAGACAAGTCCTCATTATTTTTAGAAATTGTCTTAAACAATATTATTTAGCAGGTTTGATTTCATTTTGCCTTATTATAATAAAAGTATAATTGGTGCGATATGTTCTATTTTAGAGATAGTGAAATGCATATGTATATAAATAATCAGATGTTAAGAGATTTAATATGATTTGAATCGTGTATCTCTCAAGAATTTCCATAGTAGCCACAATGTCACCTGAAGATATTTGATTTGACTGTTTGTTAATAATTGTATAATCATCAATTGGTTTACGAATTTAAAAAGCTTTTCTTCAAACTGACTCACAATCATATGATGGTTTGTTGTTTTCTTCATCAATTGATGCATTTGATCTATGTCAATCTGGTTATTTAGCAAACAATATTCAGCCTTTGATTGGCTGACTTTTATGATACTTTTATTTCATATTTTCGTTGAATTTAACTATTGTTAAATACATCTAAGTATAAAAAATATCTACGTTTATGGATGAAATACCACATAGATTGTTGATGATACAACTGTAAGTACTTGAAAATCACTAAACCTTAATGTTGATAACTGACTTATTCAGTAATTGTGGACATTTCTAAGTTAGTCAGTGATATACCTTTGAATATTTCAGTTGTGTCTTATTCTTTCATTCATTTCTTTCTTTCATTGAGTAAAATAATGTTTGGAATTCAAAATCAGTAATGTATTTAATATGTGCCATTTCATTCTGAAAGTAATTCCTGCGATTAATGACATGGAAAAAGGGTTTATTATCTGACAGCTTTGGTTAATTTGAAGAAAATAAACTTTGACTGTCAAACGATACATTCATTGCATAGTTGTAAATCTGGATGCCTTTAATAGTCACTCACTTCAACTTTATTATTTCTGATTGAGATCACGTATCAATGAATGTTAGATCATGGTTGATAACCTGGAAGCACTGGACAGTCGTTTCGTCATAGTATGGGGCCGCTCAGCAGTGCGCATCCACGATCCCGCACGCAGGACTTGAACCCAGGACCTCCGGTCTTGCGTGCAGAAACTTATTTATGTCCATACAATTTACTAAGACAGACTGTAGTGTCGAATGCTTAGAATCGAAACAAAGGGACAAAAACAGTATTCTGTTTTGTAAGTTTGATCAACCATAGTTTTAATGGAGTCGGTTTACTATTAGAAAAGGTTACTGTTGATGAGAGGCCGTTCATATGAATTTATATCACACAAAATTGCTAATCATTATACCAACCGGTCAAAAGTAATACATTTAGTTAGGACAGTAGTAATAGTTGGTGGTGACGAGATCATATAGATTTCGAAGTTAAAGTAAAACAGTAGTATGTGATATTAACAGATGTTAGTCATCGTATATAGATATAGTAACCAGTGAATCCCAGATCGATCGGTTAAAGTGAGACATTCGGAGAGAGTTATGTTAATTTTGAGTCTATCTATGGCCCAGTTGGGAGGACTGTATAAATTTTAAAATTTCTGAATTCCAATAACCAATTGTAAACTCTAATTCTTTTAGTGATTTCCTAACTGATATCAGTCTGTGATGTTAACCATTTCGATACTAAACCAACCCCCACAGACTGTTCATCTAGGAGATGAATGTCATGTTAATTCAACTTTAAAAGAAAATATTCTTCCGCTTTTTTCCATTTCAGGGTATTATTATTATTATATCCTAACTAACTACAGTTTAAAAAATCTAAATTACTTTATAATGATATATTACATTGCCGCCTTAAAAGCGAAAGTCATAATTAATAAAAATGATATGCTTGTTCACTAATAACAGTTCATAATATTATGATAATTTATTAAATATTCGATTTCATCACTCTTCATGTTTGTCATTAACTTGTGTAGACATGCATGTATGTATATATTTGTATGATAATTATGGCCAACAAGTTGGTTGTAAGCTCTTTGAATCCGTATGGGGTTGTGGAGTTTGTTATGCTTTTGGTTGAAATCATGAATCGATTGATGTTAGACGACCATTGAAAAACCGGAAACACTGGATAGGATTCTGCAGCAGTGAGCACATACTATTCGAACCCAGGATGATCTCTATCAAAAACTTAACCATCTTCACAACCGCATACTATGTACTCACTAGTGACTAGCTTCGTGAGAGAATTCTCGGAGTTTTAGTGAGAAACCGTGACCAATGAAGCTAATCCATGTGAGGTAGAGATAGGTATCTACTTCAGTGTTATGTTTGAAGCGATTACGAGTTCACCCAGTCTGCGAACCGAACAAAGACTCTGTGGCCAAAGACCAATAAGCCAGGTATTGTGATGCGTCCCAGCACTGCTAACCAGAGACAGAAGTCCAAGTTCGAAACGGGGAAACATATTCCGCAAGCAGCCAGAAGCACGAGCAACCACGAAAAGTCGAGTCGGAGACACACTCATTTATATATTGGTTTGTACACCCATTTTTTGATTTATAGTCAGAATAAATCACATATCTGAAAAATACTTCATACAATAATATCGTATGTTATACAGAATGAAATGTCATAGGGGAAAACAGTAACGAATACTATACTGAGTGATCATCAAATTGAATTAAATAGAATTCATGTTGAATAAAAATCATGAGGAGTAAATAAATCTAATTCTGACTTTTCATCACGACAATTGACGATGCCGCCTCAGTGGTCTTGAGGTTCGCGCGCGAGAGTTACGCTCATTCCAGTACTCCCAGTTTATATATATATATTAATGTGTCTATGCATTAGACTGGGTGTATCCATTAAGAAAAAATGATATACAATAATGTATGTATGTGTATTATCCGTTTAGTGTATAAGTACACTTTGTATTATCAACAAATTAAACTGATAAAAATCGATTAATATTCAACCAATCTCATTCATTATAATAATAATAATCATAAATGTTCATTTGTTCATTAACTCCATCTAATTAAACAATGGAAATTTATTTATTTCATTATTATTAAAAATACCTATTTATCCGTTTCAATAAAAAAACTTTCTTTCTAATTTGATATGTGAAATAAGTAACATACAGCACATTCTTCAGTGATTATAGCAAACAGCCAACAACATCAACAACGTCAACAACATCAACATGTTAGCACATTCTGAACTTGCTGATATTTTAATAGAACAATCTAAATTATTTCATCAATTATATGATGATAATTTAATGAAAATGACAGCAAAATTAGATGATTTTCAAAGAATTCGTACATTAGGACGTGGTGGTTTTGGTCATGTTCTATTAGTACGTCATATTTATACTGATAAATATTTTGCATTAAAAATATTATCTAAAATACAAATAATTAAAACTCATCAAATTCATAATGCAATTAATGAGAAACGTATATTAGCTGCATGTAATTTTACATTTATTATACCATTATATTATAGTTTTAAAGATAATAGTAATTTATATCTGGTTATGGAATATGCAATAGGTGGTGATTTATTTACATTATTACGTCATATGAAACAATTCTCTAATGAAATGGTTAAATTCTATGGTGCTCAAGTGATATTAGCATTTGAATATTTACATTATTTAACAATAGTTTATCGTGATTTAAAACCAGAAAATCTTTTAATTCATTCTAATGGTTTTATTAAATTAACTGATTTAGGTTTTGCTAAATTATTACCTAAACATAAACGTACATGGACATTATGTGGTACACCAGATTATATGGCACCAGAGATTATATTAAATAAAGGTTATCATCATTCAGTTGATTGGTGGGCATTTGGTATATTATTATATGAAATGACTACTGGTTATCCACCATTTATGCATTATGATCAAATGAAAACATTTGAATTAATTATTATTGGTGATATTAAATTTACAAATCATTTTAATCCATTATTAAAAGATTTAATCAGAAATTTAATACAAATTGATTTAAGTCGACGTTATGGTAATTTAAAAAATGGTATCCATGATATTAAAAATCATGATTATTTTAAAGATTTAAATTGGTTACAATTATATCAATTGAATATTGAACCTCCTTATAAACCATTATATAATAATAATAATAATTTACAAGATATAAATCATTTTGATTGTTCTAATGAATTCAATTTCAATATTGCTGAAAAAGAACAATTTGAAAATAGTTTTGATGATTTTTGAAATCGTTTTCCTTTTGTTTTCATGGTTTCATTCGATTCCGATTTGTTATGGTTTAATTTATTGATATGAATTGTATTCATTGCTTAATTCAATGTTAATTACGTAATAAAAAGAGAAAGAGAAAAAGAAAGAAAGAAAGAAAGGAAGAAAGCATAGTGTACAATATCACAGGTAAATATGATGTTATAACATATTGAAGAGTAAACTTACAACATTGAAAATTGAACATAGTTAACTAGAAAATGAATTATTCCTTTTTCTCTTATCAAAATTAACATCCTATGTAATTCATAAATCATATACATACATCATTTACTTAGTTTATTACTTAATTAGCTTACTGATTTTCACAATACTTTTCTTATTTGGCATTTTTATTTTAAGTGAATACAGAATGATCTTTTTTCTCATAAGCATTCTCAGAGATTAATTGAGTTTTTAATGTTTATATTACAGTTTGATGTAACGGTTGAGCACTCATTTCGATGCCTGAAGATGCTGAGTTTCATCCCACGTGGGATTATGGATAAGTGCTGTTAAGGTATCTCATAACTATTCAATGTTTTATGATTTCTATTGGTTGCTTAACTAAGACCAATCAACGAAGTTAACTATGACAATTTTACTATTCAATAAATTTCTGGGATTATTAATGATATATATATATATATATCACAGGTGGCTATGAATTTCGAAGTAAATCCTGAAATTATTGTGAGTCGAACGTCGACTGAATTTTCAAAAGAAATACTTTACACAGTGAGCTCACCTAATATGAAGAAAATATTTAATTTTATAAGTGCTGACTTTGTAATTGTCTTTCAAAGTTAAACATTGCATGAGTCAAGACAAAGCAAACGTAAAATATATTCTTGCAGCATTTAAATGCTAAGATATAATCCAGTTACCCGTGCTTACTCCTGCCAAACCAGATATCAAGACCAGAAATTTAGGGGATTATATACATACCATTCTTACACTAATAATCTATCGAAGCAGATGCTTCTTTAGATGTGGTTTGATGGTATTTAAAAATACCGGAATTTTTACCTAAATATTTTTACTTTGGATCATTCTCAATGTGCAAAGAAGGGGCCCAATATGGTTTAACGTAGAAATCATCACTAATCTTCGAAGCGGAATGATTTGTAAAAGTATTGTGATACACTGAAAACTGAGATAGCCAAATCTGAGACATCTGATGCTTACCCTAATTAAATTCCCTAATAGATTGTAAAACAGGGCTTAAATGTTCCTAAACACAATTCCTGTTTTTTCGTACATTAATCAAAGGTAAACATAGGACATGCCCCATCAACACTGTATGCAGATAGTTGTTCTTGATAAAAGTCTCCTCCAAAAACCAATATTATTCACAAGTTTATCATTGAAGACACTATCCACCTAACAGTAAATTACAGTAATTACATCACTTAAATGTAATTCAAGTGTATTAACAATTCAATAACCCAACATCTTCAGATTATCTGAAATGTTTAACAGAATAAAATCATTGAAATGATTAATATCAATGAATTTATTTTAAAAGAATAAATGACTGATTTCATCATAAACAAATAAATCAATAGAAGTACAATTAATATCCATGAAACATAGAAACTATTCAAAGGATTTTTTCACAGGGCAACTTTTCATTATGAATTCTGAATAAAATTAAACCCGATCGAATGAATTCAAATCAGTTTAATTTACACACAATAATACAAATGAATACAGATATATATATAACAATGAATAGAATAAATAAAGTAGGATTGAATAATGTCAGTCATTCATATGTTGATTAGTTATACAGTTCATGACCTTAAAGTTCTGTCCTCAAGTTATTCGAATCAAATAGATTATGTATAGACAGCTTATAATAAAATGTATACTATGTGTGTACTATAATAATTTGAATGAAATTTTAAGAAAAAATATTGACATTTCAGCAAACTGTTTATAATTTATTCAGTAGTATATAAATAAGATAATCATCATAAATTTCAATTTTAAACTTGAGATTAATTTCCGTTTCGAAATAATTCAATGAACTAATTTCTTGTGAATAAACAAACTTTGAAAGATCTATTGGCCGATATTGTTATAGGTAGTCGATATACTTGGTTACTGAAGAAATACATATCTCAATAATGTAAGTGGAATATGAAAAAGAAGGGAGATATTTACGATTACTTAATGACATTGTCAGTAAATAATAATGAAAATGAATTCAACAATTACTAGATCTTTGAATTATGGAATGTTTTGGTTTGTTTGTTCCTAGGCTTCTTCAAATCTGAACTCATGATAGCTACTATTGAGTGTCAAGATTGGTGATCAATTAACCGCTTCTCTCACTCAGATCATGTCTTAATGAAGCGGTTGAAATTATTTCTGAGATTTGGTGCAAAGTATTACAGAGTGGCTGTTATTGTTCTTTTTATGAGGAAATTTTCTCAGAAAACACATTGGTTACTATTTAAGAAACACCAGGTTACAAATATATCTTTAACATTAAACTAACTGAATTTATTATACATGAAGTAAATTGATGTCGCTTAACATCAGTTGTCGTAATTGAGACGCATTTTATCATATAGATTTTAAGTGCTTTATGAAATATTAACGAACAAATGATCATGATATTTTTTTGAGAGTAAAATAGACGCTTATCCCGTTGCACTTTTGAAAAGAGATCAGAAGATCTATATGGTTGAACTGCTTTATAGTTTTCAGAACAGTTTTCACTTTTATTATCACAATTACTATCAGATAAATGTTTTAATGAATCATGTTAATCATTTTGAGATAAATGGACTTTCCTAGCTCACAAGGGGAAAACCAAGGTCCTCAAATACAACATGGAAAACAGCAATCCAGTCAATCTTGATGGCGAAACTCTGAAAGATGTAGAATCCTTCACATACCTGGAAAGCATCATCGATGAACAAGGAGGTTCAGATGCAGACGTAAAGGCGAGGATTGGCAAAGCAATGATAGCATTCCTACAATTGAAGAACATATGAAACTCAAAACAACTTTCAACCAATACCGAAGTCACAATCTTCTATACGAACGTCAAAACAGCCAGTTCTACTGTACGGAGCTGAGACTTGGAGAACTACAACGACCACCATCAAGAAAGTACAAGTATTTATAAATAGCTGTCTACGCAAGATACTCAACATCCATTGGCCGGACACCATCAGCAATAGCCTTCTGTGGGAGAGAACAAACCAACTTCCAGCTGAAGAAGAAATTAGGAAAAGACGATGGAAATGGATAGGACATACATTACGCAAATCGTCATACTGCATCACGAAGCATGCCCTAACTTGGAATCCTGAAGGGAAGCGGAAAAGAGGAAGGCCAAAGAACACATTGCGTCGGATAATAGAAGCAGATATGAAAAGGATGAATTACAATGGGATGGAGCTAGAAAAGATTGCCCAGGACTGGGTTGGATGGAGAATGCAGATGAGTGGTCTATGCTCCTTCACGACGAGTAACAGCGTATGTAAGTACGAAACTTGGGTATTCGCAAAAAAAATTTACCCGAAAATCAATTTGAAACAAAACATAACCATTGGTTCAACTAATCTGTCTCATTATCGGTTAGCAATCTTTATGAGTTACGGTATGGTTCAAAACTATTTTTTTGTATCAGAGATGATATACGATTAAAACATGAAATATTGGTTTTTCTCTGATATAGTTACTGTTGTTAGATTTAACTATCGGTAAAATATACTTGCCAGTAGAAGTCACCTTAAATACTTCAGTTAGAAAGTGTAAAACTGTCGCCAAATCTAGTGATTTGGATATAAATACGTTAGGAACTGAATGAAGATATTACAATGAAATCAGTAATATATATATAGTACAACTATTCTAGTCTGATAAGACACTAAATACTGTTCCATATATTCATAACTATAGTAAACTTTTTGACGAGAATGTTTTTGTCATCATTTTTATGATTATTAAGTGTTTCAATGTTATTTTACTTATTAAGCTTGTCACTTAATAAAATATCGAGGCAATCCGTACAAGGTGCACATACGCCAACAAAAGACTGATCACTTGTAGTCCTAAATAACAATGGGAAGATACAAGTTAATGACATCAATTGAATTTAAAACTTCACCCCATTACACAAACAGGTGGCTATTGGAACTCAGTAGCTAAGTGGATAAAGCAATAGCGTTTGAAGCGAACGGTAGTGGGTTTGTGTCGTAGAGTGAGGATCAACACTAATACGCAGGTAAATCCAGCTGACGAGCCACAAATAGGACGAAACGCACGTCCTGGATTCCACTGCTAGTCACTATCCATCTTCATTACGTTATAGGATGTTTGAATATTTATTTAATGTAAGCTTAGTATTTTACTTATCATCAAATATGACTAATGTATGTGTTAAAATAACATAAATATTTCACATGTATTGGTTGTTTGAATCTTCCATTGATGTTGATCAGTCTCTTTTAAGCATATGTGCATTTCAAATGGATTTTCTCGATATTGCCATTGAATAACAAACATTAGAAACAAAGATGGAAAGTTCAAACAGCCAATACAAATGAACTGAACTCCACTGCATTGTAGAAACGGCTATCTCGACTCAGTAGCTAAATAGATAATTCCGTGACGCTTGAAGTAATCGGTACTGCATTTAAGTAAACATCAACTCTGAAATGGATGTATTTCCAGCTTACAAGCTCCAAATAGGCCGAAAAATGTGTACTGCATTCCACTGCTAGTCACCAAGCATTATTGCTTATAGATGAATGTTTTATTGATATACAATTATACTTTGATGAGCTAATTGTAAATAATACATGTCAAATAAGGTTTTATTCTCAAAACTCACCATCGTTTCACACCTAAAGCATCGGTTGTTTAAATGAATGAATTATTATTTAGTGATTTCAATGTTAAACTCATCTATAGATGAATATACTGAGCACAGTGTAATCTCGTCGTTATGACACATTATCATTTAAATATCTTAGTCATAATTTTATCTGAAACTTGAGTAGTCATCCCACAGTGATAAAATTTTTTAAAAAAATGGTATAGTAGAAAATATCATTAAATTTATTCAACATTATATCAAGAATCCTTCTTATGTGTTGATTTACTTGTACATTGACAACTACATTCAGTTACAATTGGTAAATGTACTCTATACCAATTACATTTGGATAAAGGCCATTTTTCAGGGCATATATAACGTAGTATAGCTATATTCTTTGTATTTTTTTCTTGACAATACATTCCAGGAGGTAGTGAACATGAAGTATTAGCTAAATTAACACATTGACCAGTTTTAATCCATCTTGGCCAATATTTTGGTCCTAAATCATACCATATATAATATAATGGACAATTATTATAATCATTTAAAAATTCTCGTAGAATACGTTTTAATTGACGATTTTTTTTCATTCGATTATATTTAAAATATTGTTGATTCGATTGAAAATGTAACAATTGATCATTGAATTGATTTTTATATTTTAAATTTTCAATTAATTTTAATCGATGCATTATATTTTGAAAAAATTGATTTAAATTAGTATCTATGTGATTATGTTTTTTTCTTTTTTTATATGAATCATAAATATTTAAAAAATTTTGATGATTTTTTGATTTAATTTTACGTGATCTTCGATTTCTATTTAATGATAATAATGTTTCAAATGTATTTTTATTATCATTTATAAAAGTTGATGAAATTAATCTACCACTTGGAAACATGATAGCTTCCCATGGTTTATTAAATGACATAAATTCACTATTAAAATTTTGTCCACCTAATAAACGAATCATTTCATTATGTTTTAATAATAAATGATTATGAAATGGTCGTTCATTAGGTATTAATGGAATTTGATTAGGGAATATAGTTAATTGATTAGGTTGAATCATTTGATTAGTTATTCTTAAATTTGAATTCATCTCTGCTTTTATATGAACTGGATCATTTTTTAATCTTTGAAAAATATTTACATTTCCGGATGTTTGTAAATTATGATAAAATTGTAAAGGTTTTGATTTATTAAATTTAATTGATGTATTATTACTGATTTCATTGTTTGTATTAGGTGTATAATATAAAGTTGGTTTTTCCATTTGATATGAATTTATATTTCGATTTTGAAATAAATGCCATAAATAATTTGAAATATTCGATTTATCAACTGAGTTACCATGGTTACTCATAAGATTCACATCTTGTAAATCATTGACAATATATGTTGATTTTGATGTAATTCGATTTGAATAAATTAAAGGTAAATCAATGAAAATACATATAAATATTATTAATTGAATGTATATATTAGACATTGTAAAACATTAATCTATATTGCATAGTGAACATATACTCTATACACTGTACATGTTTAATAGTTATAGTTGCTAGGGTGATTCTGAAATTTTTATTTATATCATAATTTTATTTATTAAAATTGAAATTATTTATTGATTATTAATTGAAATTGAAAATACGAATAATTTGTATGTCTATTATTATTTAATGGATAAGTAGTATGTTAAATTTTTTTGTTTTTCTTCTTTAACTATTCCATCTGGTCAATTGAAATAGAATTATATTTGATTAATTAGATGTTGTATAGCGGTAATAGTTGGTATATGAGTTATTTCTCTTTACAAATGAAACATTTTGTTTTTTTTGCATTGTTGTATTGTTTCAGCTGACCTTGAAAGTTTTGTGAATAGGTGAAATATTATTTTCTATTCATTTTATTATAAACAAAATAGACATTCATGGATATCGGGGGGAGGGGGTTGGGTGGTAGGGAGAAAACAAAATCAGTGATATTTTATATTGACCAATAGGCGATTGGTTTTATGATATAAATTTGTTCATTGTGTATAGAACAACTTTTTCTCTAAAGAAGTAATTTTAATAAAATGATTTAATCTCAAGTGAGAAAAATCATAAATAGGAGTTGATTGGGAATTTTGTGTAGTATGAACATAATGTTCATTTACTACTAAAGATTAGGTTGGTTATTTTGTCTTAGTTACCAATTAAAGGGGATCTATTGTTATTTACAAGTAGACAAGCCATCTAATTTTTTTTTAAAAAGAACATTAGAAACTCATCACATTCCAATGAAAAGTAAATTTACTTTTCAATATTTTCTTTCAAATAATCACTTACTGTAGTATGCTTTTCTTATGACAATAAGACGTATTAATTCATAGAAAACAATGCTACATTACAGATTTTTATCAACTCGCACAAGTATAAACCGTAATGAACAATCAATCAACTTTTTGAGTTGCGTTAACAACTTTCAGACATTGTTAAATAAACGTTGCTATGTTCCTGAGTTATGGATGAACACTGTTGAAAAGTTCTATACTGAGACGAAGCGGACGTCTAGTGTAATAGAAGTGTAATAGAAGTCAAGCTCAGACTAGTTTGTGACTTCAATAATGAAAATACTACAATCTTCACAAATCCCTTATACTAAGTATGTATCAGTTGAAATTAAAATTGTGTAAAACTCATATCCGTCTGACAACTAACGGATTACGCTTCAAGTTAACGTTGAATTAATTAAAATAATATAGTTATAATTATCACAAGCCTATACTGATGAAATAAAGGGATGACTAACTATTTAGACCCTACAAGTTATGTAATTCAGTTAATGAAATTACATTTTTCTGCATACAATTAGCGACACTGAGTTATACGGCTGTAAACTTCGGATCTTATTAATGTTCATAAAACTGGAAATACTTTGTGAAAATATAGTTTCGTAATGACAACAACTTCTAAATAAATTTTCTTCTTCGGATAACAAGAACATTTAGGTCCATTCATATCTATATTCTACACTTGAATTGGTTCAAATTAATACAATCTGTGTTTTTTTTGGTTTGCTTAGTGAGAAAACAAACTTGTATCCATTAGTGGAAAATGTTGCCATCAAGTTAGTATTTGAAATCGATGACCATGGAGGCAGCTTTAAGATCCTAGATATTAAAATAGTCAGTCGTAGTACATTTAGAAGCATAGAGATAAATACCTATCAATTTTCCTTTTTAATGTTTTGATATATTTAAATTTCATTCTATCGTACTGTATTAACCAAGCCTTATCCTTTTGTTCAAAATGCAAAAACTATGAAGTCAGAAATTATTTTAAAGGTTTAAATTGAAAACCATAAAAACAGCATACAGAGTCCAAAATTAAAACAAATTTATAATTTAATAAGATTAATTATCATGATCTCTTCAACTAAACATTTATTCACCGGGTACTCAGATCACTTGAAGAATCGTTTAAATTGAACAAATACTTAGAAACAACTAACATTTATAGATAAAACATATTAGAAACATTCAAAATTCTTTATTATCTATCTATGATAGGAATCAATAAATAAAGAAAGTAAGTATCTTTTGAGATTTCGAGTTGGAAAGATATTTCTTGTTTGATATGCAACTTGAAAGAATGTGAATTAGTGAGATAAAAAATATGAAGACGAATAAATTTGATGTAAATCAAACAAAATTCATAATTAATGAAACAAACAAATAAAAATATATTATCAGAATGGAGTTTTGTGGAGATTTCAATAATTTAATGGTTGAATTCATGGGTCAATTATAGCTAGACCACCATGGAAAACCTGAAAGCACTGGACAATCGTTGACAGTATTGCGATTTCGTGGATTAGTTGAAGTTAGACATCAGCACCGTTGGATGTCGGCTCAGTGGCCTAGAGGTTAAGCGTCCAAATTCCGCGAGCACGATCGTGGATGCGTGCTGCTGAGGATTCCCATACTATGGCGAAACGACCTTTCAGTTATGAATAGTAAAACAAACCCCAATCACATGTTTCTCAATAGATATTTTCATATTTTCGTCAAAATATATCTGTAATTGTGACTAGATATTACTAAATACTAATTACCTCAAGATGCTAAAAATATAATCACTAATTATTAACGTAAAATAAACACACAGGTAACAATAGAATGCGCCATTTAATATAATCCTTTGAAGTGTTTGATTTTATTTATGATCTACTCCATAGTATCAGCTGTTATGGGTTATTGATTTTTCGACACAACCAAATATTTTGATGCATTCAGGGGCTAAAAATTATGGTAGCGTACATAATGTTTAGGGATAGTAGATAATTCATTCGCAATTCGACAGAGTGTATACAAATAATTTTGATGACAATAATAATAATAATTATTATTATTGCTATTACTCGTATCATAAGTCCAGCCATGGTGGAGAAGATTTGTAGCTCAGGTGGGTGATTTTGATGAAGTTTTGTTCTCTGAGCTGGATGGTTTGGTCGTGGAGCTTTCATCGTTCTTCTGAACGACATCATCAGCACAGGAAAATCATACACAAATATAGGAACAAAAATCAAACCAATTGGAGACACAACCAAAACAAAGAAGTAAACAATGACAAATTTAAGGTCATTAAGAACCAGTCAACATCGAGGTGCACAGAACAAGCTGTGAGAAATTCAAACACTTCACTTCTATCTGAAGTTTGTGCTGATGATGTCATTCAGAAGAACGATGAAAGCTCCACGACCAAACCATCCAGCTCAGAGAACAAAACTCCATCAAAATAAGTCCACCCATGGAACTCATTCTTGTGAAAAATAAAATAGTATGAACAAAAACTGTTATCAATAGTTTACTATCAATGTCTTAATAACATGAACAAATCAATATTAATTTTAATGTATTAATGCTTAGAGAATAGTGTAATTTGTTTATTCTATAGGTTTTAAACTTACAAATTATAATGATTTACCATAGAGACTAACACTATTCAATCTAATCTACTAGAAAATCAATATTAAATAAACAATTTTTTTAATTTACATTTTCAGTTTTCTCAAAAATACCCCTAAAATCAATAAATTTAATATTATTTCTTTATTCTATTTTAATTAGTTTATTATTCGAACTTATACATTGATTTAATGGTGCCTATCTCTTTCTCTCTCTCTCTTTCTCTCCCTTTTTACACATTTTTATTCATAAAACACACTGAACATTATTTCTTTTACTATAAACAACAATCATGTAGATATTCCATATATTGAAATAAATATTTACCACGTTACACAGAGACAAAATAACTTTTTTTCTTCATATTTATTGTGATATTGTTTTTACTGTGAAAAAAAAGAGAAAAAAGAAAAAAAAGTAATAATATTGATGAATATGTGAGACAATATGTAGTGAATAAAGTTTTTTCCTCTTTCTCTCTTTCTCTACAATCTTTCTCTATACATTTGTGTGTGTGTGTGTATTTGCTTGACAACTTGAATAAAGATATTCAAAAAAAAACTAGTTTGTTATTCTTATCATGGTAACTGTTATTATTTGTATATTTTAGTTACCTGTCAGTATTCATCGTAAATTTTATTTAGTTTGATTATTATCGGTAGTTTATTTATAATAATGGTGATAATAACATTTAATGGTGAAGTATATATATGTATGGACACTGAAATGACAATTTATGGTGCCAATGTCTTGGGGCTTTATTTAAACAAAATAAACTTTATAATGTTTTTACATATATAGAAATAGAATCATAAAAAGTATTTCTGTAATAAACGAAATTTATTACTGAAGATTTACATACACATTGAATGACTGTAATTAGGCGCCATAATATTATACAATTTACATTTTTGTTCAAGATAAATAAGGCGCCATACTTGATTATACGACACACAAATAAAGAGATGTAATAGAATTTATGAACATTACCACAATTATAATACACATTGTGTCGTAATATGTAAGCGTATAAAAATAAATGATACTTTGTCTTCAAGTTTGTAATGCGTTTATCCATGTCATTTATTGCATGTTAATTATATAGACATTGGAAAATTGAAATAAGTAAGTTTATACAAGTTCATCATGCATAAATAGTAAAGTAATCAAATGTTATTATTTTTCTAAAATATTTTTAGTATTTAATTAAAATGAACAATTAACCTAAGGTAATTACCATGTGAATTAACCTATGAGAAGGTAGAAAAGCATTTTCTATAACAGTTATAAATATATAGGTAAATATCTGAATGAAAGGCGTATACTAAGTGAAAGCAGAATTATAGAACATTATTGTTATGAATTGATCAAAACGGTGAACATGGATGGAATTTGAATTTATTATATTCGCGTTGATTGTAGAACAAGTAACTCTTAACAGGTTTAGATGTCATAATGAGATCTGAGTTTACAATCGATTAGCCAGTAAATATGAACGAGTATCATGTTATCTAGTCCCATAGCGCGGAATGAATTTCATCAATCAATTGTAAAATCTGTCTTACAGTAGGCAATTCGCTGCTCATTGTCTTCAACTGTGAACGTGGTTGCTGGTGTTTGGAATCCTACAAAGAACGTCACTTCCAAATAGCATAAAATCTAGGTTCAGATTTTCCTGTCGACTATTTTCAGCAAGTGAAAACTATAAGAATTTCGAGCTTGTAAACTTATTTTAGAAATCATGTAGTTAAATCGTTTGGATAATCAAATATGTAACCACACTTACAGCACAGTGGGCTTTTTCAAATCTCTTACCTCAAATCAAACACAAAACTGTCGACTATCAGTTAATTCATGTGCGTTCTTTAATTGATAATCAACTAAAAGATCTCAGTTGTTAGAGAAATTCAGAAAGTTTATTTTGTTTCAAATCT